AGCTACAGTATATAGTCATTATAAATGCATAAATAAAATTAAAACTCATTTTTCTTTCATTGTTCAAGGTTATGTCAATGTAGTTATATCACTCTGATTTAAGAATAATTCCCAAGGCCCTAGATCACTCAATTTTTAAAATGTGGATTAGAGGCTCTTTCACCCGAAAAAGTCTTCCCAAAACTCAAAATGCACAGAATGTGTTCTCCATTTGGAACGTTGAAAAGATTTTTAAATGAAGCATTACACTTTGTTCAATTAATAACATGGAAAAATGTTAAATTACAGCGCTTTATAGAAGTAAAATAAGGCAAAACAAAACTAGGTTTTAATAGCATTATTGAGAAAGATCATTATGATGAAAATTAGCATAAATATATTGTTCTTATCTCTTTTTCCATAATAATCTAACTCATGATGCGTCAGACGTATGCAAAGCTAAACAAAACAATTCAGTATGTGACTGTATGATGAGTCTACAAAACACTTTATCAGAGAAAGTTGCTCTATATGGACTATTGGGCAAACTAGGAAGAAAAATTCTGGTTTCTAGTCTAAAGCCACCAACTGAGACACTCAACACATTCATCAGAAGTGAAACTGCTTTATCTTGTAAAAACAGGTTGAGCAAACAAAACGTATTAATGGAAACCATTTGATAAGGGCTGACACAACAACGATTTGCTAGTGCAGTAAAGGGGACTTTGGCAGTACCTTAACCTTGGTAGCAGAAGGAAATATGTCTACCACAATTTGCCAAGTGATGGGCTTTTGTGTCTCAGCCCTTGGATTTGCGGGCTGTATTGCATCCACAGCAATGGATCCATGGAGCACCCAAGATTTATACAATAATCCAGTGACATCGTTATTCATGTATCAAGGCCTTTGGAGAACTTGTGTGAGCCAGAGTACGGGTCTTACTGAGTGTCGGCCTTATTATACAATTCTTGGGCTTCCAGGTATGGTCAAAGCTACCACAGTCATAAAATAAAAGTGAATGTTTTTTGTAATATGGCAAATACAATATTTTAAGCAGCTTGCCTATATAAGTGATGATTATATTGACTACAGTAAGTAGATATATGTACTTTTAAGGTATTGTTGTCATTACAAAAGTAGTGAATAGAAAATACTAATGTTTAAACCTTGTTACCATTACAAAGGAAAAGAAATCAAAATTGGTTTAAAGTTGTTAGCTTTCTTTCTGAGCCTGATTTTTATTTGTTATGTTAAAAATAATTTAATAAATACGTATTCATTATCTACTTATCTGAGTAAAAGGCATGAACTCCCCCCCCCCCCAAGACAGTCTGATATTTTCCACTATGAAAAGTAGATTGCTGGCCTTAAAATATGAGAGAATAAAAACAGTCATTTTAATTATTTAAAACTTCCAAATTTTTATCAGAATTTCCTATGGTATTAATGTTGTGCCTAACTCATGAGAATATAAACTTGAAGGAAGTTAGATATACACACAGCAGTTATGAAAGAAAAAGAACTTGAACTACCATTTGAATTGTACAAATAAGTTGCATATTATAAAACAACTCTGAGATCGATCAACTTTTAGAAAAAGCTCAATGAAACACATCAACTAGTATGTTAAAAGTTTTGTTTTGTCTGGCATGTTTTTTTCTTCCTATGGTCGCATATCCTTCTTTTTTATTGTTCTACATTTTTTTGGTACAAATTATGATACTCGTTATGAAAGTATGTATTTACATGTATCATGTTAGGAATTTGAACTTTAGATTTAAATTACAAATCTAATTTACAGAAAATCTTCTAATAGTCTTATTTTAGTACTAAAATAACTGGTAAAACCATGATTTGGTTTTAGTTCGGTATTAACTATTTCATATATTTTATGATATGAAATGATGATATTTTTAATGTATTTATTTATTTATGTATTTATTTTTCTGGATGTGTTTGTTTCATCATCTGAAATATATTGTACACTTGGAATTGTTGGACAAGTGTATGATGAAAAAAGTAGCTCTGAGCTAGACTGCGATGCTATAAATCTTAATGTTATTGATTTAATTTACTAACAAATGTTTACATTCCTTTTTTCAAATAAATTTTAAGATTTAATAGGTTATTTTGCAGTAAACATTTCTATAAACAATAATTTTGAAATTCATCACATCCCTATCTATTGAAAATAATGCAAACCCAACACAATATATTATTTTTTTATATCACAAAATGAGTTTAGAAGTAGCAGAGAGTGAATATCAATACACGCAGGAATGAAGTTCTACATCATTTTGGTCCCAAGTTTACTTCTAAATTATACTTATCAAACAACTACATAATCTGTATAAAACATAGTTTGTTTCATATGTAATTCCATGTAAAAAGTAACAACTTTACTCAGTTGTTTACAATAATTGTATAATACTTATTACAATAATTATTAAAAGGAAATAAACTATTGTATTTAGGCATTAAGAAGTTAGAAGTTATCTTTAGCAAGTGAGTGATAGATTTTTTCTTTGAGTCTTGGGAGAAAGGACAAATAAATCAATAGTGAAGATATTTTATAACAGGAAGAGCAGGAATAATATGAGTTCTTGATAAATATGCTTTCCAAATTTACTAGAGTCATCATTTCAACATTTCCAAGCTATGGAAAATCTAACTCTGGCCTTCTCTTAATATTAAAAATTGAATAATTGCTGAAGCAATGAGAAAGAAGTAAGGAAATCAACCAAAATTTATGAACTAAAATTTGTCCATAACAAATAATTTACACAATATAATTTTGAAAAAGTAGCATATAAACATGCGGCTTATCTAGTGATTAGCAACGTATGCCAGGAAACTTCTGATTTTTTTGTTCTTGTTTGGATATATTTTATTTCTGAATTTACAGTACACGTCTTTACAGAAGTAGGACCCAGTGCTTGTAATAAGATTTCCCCGTCAATTAAGTATATGCAAGAATATAGAATGGCAGTCCAAAATTGGGTTAGAAGAGAATCAAAACAGTAGATTTCTTTGCTTCTTTTCCAGTGTATGGAAGCAATAGACCATTACCTTTTTACCTGGCAGATATATTTCCAGTTTTCATATTAGCAGTAATGATACAAAAGCTGAAACTTGTGAGGTTTGTACCCCTGATTTTTATGCCAGAAAGAGGCAGGGGATTTACAAATTAGAGAATAATGGCAAGATTTCCAAGGTCGGGAAAAGAACAGCTAAAATACCTGTTAAATTGAAAATGTGGAAGGGAGATGTACTGGATTTATACCTTCACAGGTTTCGTATGTGCTGCTAGAAGCAGAACATTTTCGTTTGAGAACTGAACTGGTTACTAATTGGCTTCAGTAGAATTTGAGAGGTTGGTTGTTGCCTTTACAGCACTTCAGAATCCAGCCCTGGACAACTGAAATATTAAGACAAATATAACATTATATAAATGATCATTCACCGAATAATTGGTTTTGGGGGTTTTTTTTTGGAGGGGAGAAGCATTGTAAGGCTGATATGTATATAAGACTCTGAATGTTATACCAGGTTTCTACAAGTTGGGAAAGAACAATAACAAAAACCAAGGGACATTTCAGGGTCCAGGTGCTACATGCAAACATAGAACTGATAAGAGACACACGTACAGGCTTACAATTTAACTTTGTTCTACCAGGAAAAATGGATACACATGAAAAGACTCTATGAATGTGAACTCTTTTGAAAGAGATTTGGGATTTGCTTCAGAGGTTCAGCTATTTCCTTCTTTCCTATGGATATTTTACACTAGCTTTGACTAAATTTCAACCTAGATCAACATCTAACTGCTGACTATTATGGCTATGCCAGATACCTCCAGGAAATGAATATTCAGATACTTCTAGATCAGGGGTGTCAAACTCAGTTTTATTCAAGGTTTGTGTTTGATCTTGGAAAGTGGGGGTGGCTAGCTTGACTCTTATTGGGGGCACCTGTGGTAGCCCAGGCAGGGCTGGGGGGAATCCATTGTCTCCAGAGGAGGAAACCGAGACCAGGGAAAGTACCAATCCCTTGTCCTCCAGAGGAGCCTTGCCGTCTGCTGGTGGACAAGTGCTAAGGCAGGACTTTCCTTCCTTCCTTCCTTCCTTCCTTCCTTCCTTCCTTCCTTCCTTCCTTCCTTCCTTCCTTCCTTCCTTCCTTCCTTTTTACCTGCTTCCCTGCCTGCCTGATTTTTCTTCTTTTTCCTTCCCTCTTCATTCTCCTTTCTTCTTCCTTCTCATCTTTCCTTCTTTTTCTTCCTTGCTCTCTTCCTATCTTTCCTTCTTTTTCTTTGTCTTTCTTCTTTGCCTTTCTCCTTTCCTGTCCCTTCTTGGATGCCCCATTTTCGCTGGCAGAGGGCTGCAGGAGGTCGTCCAACCAAAAACGGGACTGGTTCTTCACTGTTTCCAGAGCATCCCCTTGGGTCATATCTAAGTACCCACGGTCTGGATCCAGCCTGTGGGCATTGAGTTTGACACTTCTATTCCAGATACACAAGTCTCTTGTGTGTGTTTTTAAAAATAAAAATATGACTTTTGACATGTTTATTCTTTTTGTGACTTTTTTGCTGTACGCCACCCACAGTTACTTTTTGTGAGGGGGGCAGTTTATGAATTTGATAATTAAACAAATAAATCCTTAGCCAGATAGCTCAAGGCAGCAGAGATTCTGCTAGTCAGCCTACAAATAGCTGGCATTTGTTGAGAAAAGGCCCCTGAAGATTATACCGTAATAGCAAATAGGTTTCCTGAATTCATTTAGTCTTTTTTTCTTGAAGTCCCTCAATACTAATGCCCATTAAGGTCTTGTGTTAGCAAACTGATCATTCAGCTTTCTCTCCAGTATTTTCCTACCATTCCTGAGTCTATGATGAAAAAACAGTGGCTGACACCCAGATTACTTCATGGTTATATACAGAATTATGAACAATGTTTTTATGTATTCATTCACTTGAGACATTTTTCTCCATGTCTCCCTCTACTATTTTTTCCTCTTTTTAACAGCGATGCTCCAAGCTGTAAGAGCACTGATGATTGTGGGCATTGTGCTGGGTGCTTTTGGTCTCCTGGTGGCTACATTTTCTCTGAAATGTTTACGGATGGGCAACATGGAAGATTCTGCAAAGGCAAGCATGACTTTGGCTGCTGGAGTCATGTGCATTGTAGCTGGTGAGTTAGATTTTATATAGATTCCATCTATTTTAAAGAGGTGTTTGAAATTAAAAGATGGAGAATGTTTTAAAATGTTACAAGTGTCAAGAACTGTTAGTTGACCACATCCCCACAACTTCCCAATTACTAAAAATTGCATAAGGTTCTGATGAACTTACCTTAGCAGGTTACCTTTCTCATACCCAGTTCAAACAGGCTTTTACAGCTTTAGTAACGAATCCCTGATGGGTCTTATAAGAGCCGGTATCAGAAGATCACATCTGAGACACATTCTCGTATTTGAGGCTGAAGAGATTTGCAACAAAGGGGATTTTGTAGGAAAAGGTCATCAAATGTACTGTCCTCCCCATTCACTTACAAACACTGACCAAGCCACCACCACTTCACACTCCATTCACTCCTAGCCAGAGGTGGTACTCAGCAGATTGTGACCAGTTTGGAGAACCGGTAGCAGAAATTTTGAGTAGTTCAAAGAACCAGTAAAATCCACCTCTGACAGGGCCTGCTCCCATCTATTCCCTGCCTCCTGAGTCCCAACTGATCAGGAGGAAATGGGGATTTTGCAATAACCTTTCCCTGGAGTGGGGAGGGAATGGAGATTTTACAGTATCCTTCCCCTGCCATGCCCACCAAGCCACGCCCATTGCACCATGCCATGCCCACCAAGCCATGCCCACAGAACCTGTAATAAAGGTTTTGAATCCTACCACTGCAGTCCTAGCCCATTGTCATATGCAGATTTCAGGGTAGGGAGCTGGAGATGATTGTTGCCTGCTATTTCATATATTGTTGCTTATAATATTTATAATGATTTCAATCGATTTCACAATTTGCCTGCTGCTTAAAATTATTTGTTGAGAACAGATCTAACAAATTATTTCTGCAGGACATTCATGTTGTCATGAAACAGAAATCCACCAGATGTGTTTAGTGCAGTACAACATCAGAGGGTGTAATGGTTGGAAGGGACTTGGAAAATTGTCTAGTTCAATCCCCTGCTGAGTACAGGAATCCAATATTATGCATGCCAAATAGAGGACCATTCAGACTCTACTTCAATAACTCTTTGTTCACTATTGAACAGCATCTCAGGAAATAAGATGTCCTCATCTCCAGCCCAAATTTACTTTTTTTAGTGCAAGTCCATTGTTCCATTTTTTTCCTTTTGAAAAAAAAAAAAACTACAACTCTAGACAATTTCATCCATCTTGTGCATGATAGCCCTTCAGTACTTGAAGACTGAATGTTTTTTTGAATTCTACTTCATTGATACGCTCTGAACACCCTCCAGTTGTCAATGTCCTTTCTAAAATGTGGTGGCCAGTACTAGATGATATATTTTATGTCCAGTTTTACCACCACAGATCAGAAGGGAACAATAATTTAATGTTTTGTCTCTAGCAAAACTCAGGGTGATGATACAGATGTAATTCAACGATACCTGCATTTGCTTCTAGGTAGTTCTTCAATGTATAGTGTATAATTAGGAATCTAGTGAACTGGGCACCTTTTCATTCACTTGTGCTGTAAACTGAAACAAGGTGTTCTTTGCTGGATCTACAGTTTGTCTATATATAAGCACCCAATTCAGCAATGGATAAGTAAAAGCTTCTGGGAGTCCCATAAAAAGAGCATGAAGATAATTGATCATTGTTCCTTCCTAGCAATAGATGATTATGGTTTGAGGATAGACTATAGTACTCATAGTACTGATAGTACTGATATTCCTAAACTTCATGAATATTACAGTGAAGTAAACCTACGATATTTCCTGAGAAATAGAGCTTAAATTTGGTAAGGTAAGTGGAGGTTTAAAAAAACCCACTTGCATGATCATAATATTGCCCTGTTTGCAATTACATAATAAATAAAAAAACTGTTTTTAAAGTTTTGATAAAGTACAGACTCATTGGGTCTGACTGATACTAAAAATCTCTACTCTGGTTTGATAGGTATTTGTGCTATCTGTGGAGTATCTGTTTTCGCCAACATGCTTGTCACAGACTACTGGATGTCAACGGCTAATATGTACCAGCCAGGAATGATGCAGTCACTCCAAGTAAGGTAAGTGCTTAGAAGGAAAATGTTGCTGCTCTTTTCTTAATATCAGCACCGAAATAGTAAGCTCATTTTAATAATCTTTTCGCTCTCCACGTAATGGACTGTGAGAATAACCCCGAGGAACAGGGTGAAGAGCTGCAATCAGGACTATGATCAGAGAAAAGAAATTTCCAAAGCAAAATTATAATTCATCTACTAAGCCTTGGCCTTTCCCCCAAGACATTTGGACCCAGACTAGCCAAGGCTTTTTGATCATCATTTTGTATATTGAGGTTTTACTAACATTACATGGTTACTTTCCCCCCCTGCATTTTCTTTGTTTCTCTTATACGTTGCCCAGAGTCAATGCTTTAGTTCGAAAGGACTATACATCAATCAATCAAACAAACAAACATTTATTTACTTACTGGTATTTAGCATATGGAAAATACATGGACTTATTTGAAAAAAAATCAAACATTGGGGTGGTGTAAGCTCTTGATGGGCATTTGGACACAATGTGATGGATATTTTGTTGAGGAGCACCAGAGCATAATAAGATAGGTAGGTAGGTAGGTAGGTAGGTAGGTAGGTAGGTAGGTAGGTAGGTAGGTACATACATACATACATAATTTATATCCTATAAACAAGATTAATATATGTAATATTATTTTCTCATGTTAGAAATTATAATTTGGTAGCATTTTGGTAGAGTTTCTGGGAATCACATCCACGTTAAACAGGAAATGCATACCATGGAATGGGCAGGAAGAGTGCTTTAGTCATATTGCAGCTAGTGAGGCAAATTTGACATCCCGGATTTAAGCCTATCTGAGTTCAGTGGAATTAATCCAGAACTAATTTAGTCTGGCCCAGTTTATTCAGAAAATTAAGCCCTGCTTTTCTCTTCTTTTTGCAGATATACATTCGGCTCTGCTCTCTTTGTGGGATGGGTTGCTGGAGGCCTGGCCTTTGTAGGAGGCATTATGATGTGTGTTGCTTGCCGAGGACTGGTACCTGAAGAGACCCAGTGAGTGCTTATTCTTATACATGAACAATGTTGTTGTCAGGTTGCTACAGTTGTCGGTGCCAGTTGTATGATGAAGGACTGTGGAAGATTATTTTCAGTTATTCTACCTTTTAAAAAAAATTATGAGCAACTTTTACAGAAAGATGCAATAATAATCAACAAACAATGTTTAAAATCAGAAGCAGGAGATAATCAAGAACAGTTCTGGAAAAAATACAGCACATAAATTTGTTTCAGTATTAGTTGTTTGTATATTATCTTTTCTCCTCTAGTTGATTTCTTTAGTAGATATCCAGTAAAACCCAACTTTTATATTAAAAAGAATACCATTATGTAGCACAGTAGTAGTTATTAGTACTACTATAAAGTACTAATAAAAATACTTGTAATTCATACTCCTAGAAAGTCACATTTAATGTGAGAAAAAATAGATTATTAATGTTTTCAAATGTAATTCAGGCAAATAACCCACTCTATTGCTGAATTATGAGTTTGCTTACAGAAATGAAGTTTTAGACATGCAAATTTCTCCCACAATAATATCACAAGAAGACCAGCTCTTTAGTGATGAAGCTTGATTTTTATGTGATTAAGCTATTCATTCCCTGGAAAGTCTGAAAAATTCCAGAGACATTCTCCTCTCATTTTCCAGTTGATTATCTATCATTTTGTTATTTTCATTTACTTTTTTCATTTCTTTCTAATGCTTGGACACTGTTATGTTGGCCAATGTGAGAAAATTAAAGAAGTGAGTAATTACTTGGCAATGGCATTGTTGCCCAAGCTCATGAATAAGGATTGTGACTTAGTGTGGAGTCTCTCAGTTGGCTGGAGATGATTGTTTGACTAGTTCTAAATAAGGTGCACAATACTGACATAGTTTTAATTCATTGTAATTGAGAGAGTATAATGGTAAGTAAGAAAGACTTTGGGAGACTGGGCAAAGATATGCTGCCAAGGAATGGGCATATAAGAGACAGCGTAGCTTTAACTGGATAGTAGGTGGGGCAAGACACTCATAAGAGACCCTTCCTCGCTTCCTTGCTGTAAAATATATGGGTGGAGAGAAATGTACTTTCAGATTTGCAATCTGAATTTGTCATGTAGATTGCAATAAAATAGAATTAAATCATCTGATTATTATTCCTATATGGTTTTCCCTGGGAGAAAATTTATATTATATTAGTTGTGTAGTCACTAGATATTTATAAAGTGTAGAGAACTATATTGAAAAAAAAACACCAGTGTGGATAACTCCAGGATAGACTGTTACTTCCCACTTCCACTAAATGACACCTTGATTTACTTCTCTTTCAGTTACAAGGCAGTCTCCTATAAGTCTGCTGGGTATAAATCTGGAACTGCTTATGAAACCAAGAAGACTCCAGTAATGGATAATAATACTGTCAAAAGTGATGAAGGAAGACGTTCCTACCCTACAAAATATGACTATGTATAGAAATTGCTCTGTTATTATATAGCTCCACACTCTACTTGTTAAAACTTTAGCTTTAGTCAAAACTAAGTGAAGTGTTAACGGTACGTTTCATCTCACTTTGAATTATTCTTAGGTTTGCCCTTATGATGCTGGAAATCCTTATCCAGTTGTTTATTAATGTTTGCTTTATGATTGTGAATATCGTGGTAAGCTTGAAATGAACTGATTATTTCACTCTGCAAATAATTGCATCCTTTTCAAAGTTGAAAACACCCCACTGCCCATTTACTATATTTTAAATAGGTGTAACTATATAGTAAAAAAATGGACATTGCAGTGTACAATATTGAATCCATTTCAGGTTCATGCTTTGAGACTTTACAGCAGTGTTTTTAAAAGTTTTGGGAATTTAAGATGTAAGCACTTCAACTCACAGAATTCCTATGCTGGCTAAGGATTTCTAGGTGTTGAAGTCCACATATTTTAAAGTTCCCAAGTTTAAAAAACACTTTACAGTTTTGGACAAATCTTGATAAACTACTTGGGCGTTTACCTAAATCATTCAAAATTCAATACAAGTTAAGAAAATTATTTTATTTTCATTTCTAAAAGTAATATGTAACATTAGAATGAATCAGGGTGAACATGAAGTAGGATTGATTGCTAAAACAAATACCCTTGCTGTATTTCAGCAGGTATTAAGTTCTAGTGTGTTTTCTTTCTTAATTCATTCATTCTTACAAAAACACTGATATAATAAACATAAGTCAATTATTGTAACTTGCTTACAACAAATGTTTCCTAATACACTTTCAGCCATGGTACATCTTGTATGATGCAACTATGTTATCGTTCTTACATTTAAGTCTTGAATACTCTACTGACAAAATAAATTTGCAACATTAGTATCATATATTGTCTTGAGACTGCATTACCAAGGTAACATTGGTCTGCAGCATTTTATCTTTTTGTTTAGGATGCTATAGATGGAGAACAACGAACTCAGAAATTAGATCATTTTTTAATCCCCTGCTAGAGGTGTATCATTTTGGATGTGTGTGGGTTACTTTTTGTTAAATTTCTGGTTGGAATTAAATTACAAATGTTTATAATCCGCAGAAACTTCAAAGAAACCTAGAGACTTGTATTCATGCTTATATTTTCCAGTGCAGTTTTCCTTTTCTTCACATTTTTGGAGGCATTTTTAATAGAATATATTTTGTGAGGTTTTTTTCTAATATACACTTTTTAGTATTGTTTTATATTACTTAATTTTAAAACTGGATTGTGTTCATGTATTTTTTGTCTTTTTGGGGATATGTATAATCATTCAGACATTTTGATGGGCCATATTTCTCACTTATTCCTAATTATTATTAGCTTTCTTCCAAGCTAGTAGTTTTTAGTATAACATAGAATAAAAATGGAGGTCAAATATAAAAACAAAATAATTAAAATAAGTATTTTGAGTTCAGTGAGTTGTTTAACTTGCATAGAACTGTAACCTAGTTAAAATTCTTTTGGTAGATATTATCTTGATAATTATTAATTTGACAATGCTACTGTTTTGCTTTCCAATCCTACTAATGAAAACTTCATTGTTGCCATTCTTAAAAAAAATATTTAATGCTATCTGTTGTGTTTAGAATTAATACTTTGTCTTAAAATTGTGCAGTTCTATTATTTTTATAAAATGAAGCAAATTTTATAGTATTTTCCATAAGGTTAGAAATCTGAGAGTCCAACTTCTATTCCATTGCACTGATCTTTGACGGAATAGTGTGAGAGAGGTCTACACTATGTGACTCCATAGAAGTTACATTATATTCAAGCTTGCCAAAGGAAAACAAGGCAATTGAATCCTTGAAGGCCACAAAAGCTGCAGGAAGAAAGAACAGTACTGTTAACTTTGGACTGAAAGAATAAAACATTTTCCATAATCCATAGATTAATAAGCCAACACATATATTATAGTAGAAAATAAAGTCATACTTTTTGAACTACTCTTTTAGTGTCTAGTATAGTTAGTGTAACTGCTATTTTAGTTTCACTTTGTCTTACTCTTAACTTACTGTATTAGCTAAAGCAAAAATCATGGTTTGTTTCAAATTATCCAATTAATTGCAAAGCAATCCAACTTCTTCAGTTATAAAATTGAGTTAATTAGCATATTTTGTTTTAAACCATGATATCTGATCTTTATAAAAGAATAGGAAAGAGGAAGAGGAAAAGAAGTCCACTTCACTAGTCTATTCGGTCACCATATAGGAAGTCCAAAGCATGGTCACACTCATTCCAAGCCTTATGTAATGGTTTAGCATTATATAATTTGATGTGAATCTATGCTGGCAGTCATTTAATCAAGTGACCTACATTGACAAGATCTGTTATTATTTTATGAATACATCTCATATTGACTTGTTTCCACAAAACTGATTGTATAGAATGTTGAAAATATTGAATGTTTGCTTATTAAATTACTTACAACCAGCACTTTTGTGTGTGTGTGTGTGTGTGTGTGTGTGTGTGTGTGTGTGTGTGTGAATGTGACTGTTGTTACAGTCATGCATTTTCTACTCCTGTAGAAAATGAGCTTTTGTTCTTTGTGTCTTCCATTGAAATTACTATAAAGTTCTTTATACAATGCCAATAATGGGACTCCAAGTATTGGCATTTATTGTTTATCCAAGTGCATTTGGTACTATCAATAAAAATATATATAAGTATTGTTGATCCCATAAGAAAACTTATATGTTGATAACAGTAGAAATATGGTTTTCCAAGCTTTGATTTTCCTAGACTTTATCTGAAGCAGCTGAAACAATTTCAAGTTGAACCATAGGAACACTTCTGCTGCATCGTGACATACAGTAATAACCCTTTAAAATATTGTACTCATACTTCACTGTTTTGTCCCCCATTTAGGTAACTTTAAATAGTAGCTTGCTTACTGAGAATCTGAGCACTCAGCCAGTTACACTATGCACGGTGCTCCCAATGTCACTAGGATGTTACGAAAGAGATAACATGCTTACATTTTTGTCTGCAGCACTACAGAATTACCATGGCACCATTTGAGATAATCTCAGGCACACTTGCAATGTGCCAATTATAATAAAGGTCAATTTCCCTTTCTTAAAGGCTACTAAAACACTTTCCAACAATTAAGAGGAACCTTGTCTAATCTTTTTCCTTTCCCCTCTCCCCTTCCGTCCCCTCCTCTCCCTTCTCTTTTCCTCTTCTCCACTCCTTTTTCTGCTTTCAGTCCATTTCAATTGCCTGACTAGTTCCTGCAGTTTTCTTGGCAAGATATTTAGAAATCTTTTGCCCTTGCCTTTTTTTTTCTTGGCTGCAAGTGACTGGCCCAAAGTCAGCCAACTAGCTTTGTGTCTAATTTCCCAATTTCTAGTATGATGCCTTCACCATTAGACAGACTGACTCATCTGTTGTACCAGTTATATAAGGATTCCTAAGTAGATTTTTTAGGTTTTTAACAGGTATAACAGATTATATTTTTTTACAACTGAACAACTGGAAGAATTGTACATAGACATATACAGATCATGTTCAGAAACAAAGTCTAACAAAATAAGCATCTCAAAACAGAAGAGTCCATTAAACCATACTAAGTCTTATTGTGCTTTATTAATGCAAATATAACTTGCTTCCTTTCTCCATATTTAGAGAACATTGTCTGAAACAGTAGTAGGCATGTAAAGTTCTGCTTTTTCTGCAATACTGTGGGAATACAGTTTCCTGATTTGCTTGGAGTTTTGTATGATTTCATACTTTTAGCATCCACTTTCTCTCTGTTCTGCTAGGAAAGAAAATCATTGTGCCAGTGTTCTTTTGACTTACCACATTCATGGATAGGGGAAGTCTGCCAATTTACACCATATAAAGATCAAATCCGAAGATTCCAGACAACAGTTTTCTGAGTGTTATTGAATAAAGGATCCATACAAGTCATATTATATATTAACATTCCTATTTGCATAAAATGCATCTTCACATTGGGCACAGACCTACCCTAATCCCAGTGGTACATGCTGGTAATAGGATTTCATTGTCTTGGGTTGTTTTCAAGTCTCATCTTTGCAAAAAGAAACAAAATCATTTTGGATTAAGCTTTGTTCATTTCTATTTCCCTTGTGGGAAGGCTAAATTTGTTGTCTCATGTCATTACAAACAAATCTTTGTGCCAAAGAATTATCAGGGTACCTGTTTCTCAATTCAACTTGATTAAAAAAAAAAATAAGTTCCTTCCCTTTAATGCGAACTTTAAAAAAAACATTGTCTGCGATGGATTTACACATTTATTGTGTTCTCTAAGTCTGTAATCTCTTTACGTTCTTCCTTTTCTCATATGTATTATGAGTGAGCAAAACACTAAGAACATGAAATAATTTTAATATATTTTTGAAAAGGTAAAGTATTGAACTTTCAAACAAAAAACAATTGCGAGTGGTTACATCCATAACAAAGACAGAAATGCTTAAGGGGATCTATTGATGCTATAAAGCAGATAATACCACTTTGTCAAATATTCTATAAAAGGCACACTGCTATTAGTAGGCAAAGAAATAGGAATGTTTAATTGGACTATTTTTATAAGGTATTACTTTCATATACTTTCATTTCTGTTACATTGTTTCATTAACCTATTCTTTTAAACATTTTTAACATAACAAATCCTGAGATCTGCATGATTTCACAATTGATATTAGTGAATAAATATTAATTTTGTCCAAAGTATACATTTCAATATGATTTCTAGTAAAATAAGTGTCACCTTTCAAAGTATCCATACACTCATTAGCCCTAGATAAAGGTAACAATAACTCAAATATCCATAATGAAAAACCTGCAGACAACAAATAGAATGAGTTTGGAAAGCACATTGCTGAGAAGACTTAGGGAGTTACAAGGGTTATTAATCATGCTTGCCTAGTAGATTCTACCAGTTATACATGTGTATCTTCAAATAAAAAGATTACATCTCCACCCCTTCCATCTCAAGCCTCTCTTCTCACAAATAAACAGTTGTTGTACCTGGAAGTTACTACCAGTCGAGAAGGTTTGAGTGGGCTCTCATGTTGCCAACAAGCACACAGTTGAAGAGATTTCACATTGCATTACTGGCCTTAGTGCTGTTCAGTATTGATGAGGTGAATGAAGAATCAACTCAGCACATCATGAGTTGAATAGCAAGCTGAGTACATGCTTCCTCTTTGTGGTCCTTTTCTAATCATTCAAAGGAAAATCAGGAGGGAAGGTTACTGACAAGGGTGAAAGGTGATGTCAGGAACTAGATAGTCTGGAAGGTCTATTTGCAGAATTGCACAAGGACAAGAGACTCGGTCATTTCATTCTGACTTTTGAACTTTACTTGCTTCTGTACAAAATGTATATGCAATCTGACTGACAGAAAACCCCAAGCTTCTTAATTTGAACAGGCAGGCAGTAGAAGGGCATGAAAAATATTTGGGTTGCCAAAATTGTCATTACGGTACTTAGTTAAATCCTGCTTTAGAAAGTATCTATGTGGATTCAATAACACAATTTAACAGAATGAATGGCTAGATGAAAGCTTATATGCACAGGCATAAATAACCTCCAATATTCATCAAAGATGGTACTTTTGTTTTTTTCAGTCCTCAAGGGACACAGAAAGCATGGCCAGTCACACATGATATCAAGACAGTAAATCTGAATTTTTAAAATCCCATTTTAATCATGACTGGTATTTCCTTCATCTTTTCCATCTAAACCTATTAAACATGCTAACCAATAGTAATTTATCACTGAATATTGGCAGCACTCTGGAGGCTACAGAATTTGAGTTTCCAGGTTGCCTGTATATTTCATATTAAGGAAGACTGAAATTGAAAGTTAAAACAAGCCATTCCAGATGTGATCAATGCTGATTCAGTATTCTGGATGATCCTCAAGTAGCAATGAAAGTATCTGCATTATTTCTATGCATTCATCATTATGTTGCATCTAACTATGAAACTCAGAACAATTGACACATATTGAGTTGCTTCTTAGTCAAAACGTATCTTGTTCATCAGTTGCGGGAGAGATAGCCAGTGATAATATCTGGCTTTTTGCTCTAATCAACTGTAGTGTAGCACAATCTCTTTAACATCTGTTATGTATTGTTTTCTGGTTTGGAAATTAGTGTTCAGAGGTGTCATACTTATTTGTTTTGATCTGAAGGAATGAATATTGCGACCCTTAGTGGCATTTAATTAATGTAGTGACTCATTCCCTGGGAAATCTGTATATGAAAGAGTGTTTGCATTATTATTATTATTGTATTGTTATTATTTAAATTTAATTTAGCCAATTTGAATTTGAGATATTCATAATTCTTGAATCACAGCCTCATTAATGCTTCCAAAGTGGGGACATTACTCATCATCAATAACAATTGTTCATCTGTTTGTAAAGTTAATAAAGCTAGTGTGGAATAATCTTATAAACTCATAAGGCTTTTTGTAATAGTTTCAAAAAAGGGTTATGCTTGTCCTTTAATGGCATGCAAAAAACAAGCAAGGCTGAAACAAAAAAAATAAATTTAAATAATTACACTTACCTTGAATTACGTACACAGTTCTTATAATTAATACACTTGTAGTTTCACCCTTATGTCAAATCTTGAATTACAATTTAATAATAATTGTTTGTAGCAATATCTAAGCTTTTCAGGAATTTCATGAGTGATTTATCAAACAAAAATATAGGTTGCATAGATTTGTAGAAAACAATGGCTTTGTTGTTGTACTATGAAACATGGATATAATCCTGTACCTTGTCATAAGAGTAGAGTATAAATTTTCCAGCTTTAATAATTGATTCTAGAATATTAACTAAGCAACACATATAAGAATAGATGTTATCAGTATTCTGACTGGACATAGGATTTGTGAAATCCAGTTGCATCTGCCAACCAAGAAGATGAACAGTGTTGGATAAAACAGATTCCTGCTCTTCCTTAACCTTCATTCTGATTCTGTTGCAAAAGAAAGTTCTTGTTTGCTTCGTTGCTTGCTTGCAACGAAGTTCTAGGAACCAAGGTAGTTGTATTAAAGTGTATGGTTATTGTTTACTGGTGCCTACAAAAGCTTTTAGTAAATTGAGCACATGATGAGAGTTCAAAGAAATGGGAATTTGGCTTTTGTTCTTGCAAAACTTTTTCCTGTAAAAATCCATGTATGCTTTGACACAATTAGTGAAAACAATTGAGTGTCTTTATCATTCCATCAAGAATCATTAAGAAAGTGGATTTAACCACTTTTTTATTTGCTTGCTATACCCAAGATGATATCAATGGAACATTTTCCTTGATTAAGCAAAGCATTTATTTCTCCAAAAAAGCTCAATTTCACTTAACTCTATATTCTATAAAAATGAGTTCAGGACTCAGAATCAGGAAAAGGGAGACAAGGAACAAGAGGCCTGAATTAACTTTTCCCAGACATCTATTT